TCTCACAATATGTATCACCTCTGAAATTTACGAAATTAGTAAAAGTTAAGCCGATGGTATTTGTATAAAGTAAAAAAAAAAAAAAAAAAAAAAAAAAAAATTATAACCTCAAAATTTCAATTCGTGCCTTATACATATATAATCTGTGTCACGTTATCATATGAAAATTTCTTCATATAATTGGCAGATCATCAATTAATAAAGTTTATAACGTGACTATTAAAAGAAAAAAAAAAATATAAATCTAAATTAGATTTATATAAATCTATATTAGATCAAATTATTAATTATTTGTCTAGCTTTTTAAAATTTACTAACTTGTTTCAAATTTTTTATAATATTTAAAAAATAGAAAGAAAAACAATATTAAATAAAATTTTTAATTATAAACAGCCTAATAAAAGTAATGTCTTGTTTGATAAAACAATATATAGTAGTTAATATTCCGTTTCAAGTTAATTTTTATATTAACGTTATGCAACCTGCTCCCGAAAATTAAACAAGCCAATCATATAACAGAAATTTCGTGCACCCGGGAAATTCCGATGTAGACAGTCATAAAACTGAAAATCATCGTTATTTGTTACTGTATACCTGTATATTGATGATCCTGCGTACAAATATGTACTGTACAACTATATAACGATAAGCGTTAAAGAATAAAGCACCCACTAAGCGAAATGGCATAGCGACCGATATCGATATTCGGGTTTTCACCTTTAGATAGTATTAAAACATTCATAAATTTTATTTTTTACAATAAAAATTGCAAAGTAACTAAGCTGTTTCTATTGAATTTTATTGTTTATAAAAAAATTCGTCAGAGCAGATTTTTGGCTTTTAGAGTTTACCTTTTAAAAACCTAGAGTCGAAAACTTTATTTCTTTGTTATTAATTAAATAATTTTATAATTGAATATAACGTTTAAAAAAAAAAAAAAAGAAAAAAAAAAAAAAAATTGTAGATCGAAAAAAAAAGCGATGCATATTATAACGATAAATTAATAGTAGATTGATCTTAGATAGCATTCTCAGTTCTTAAAATAAATAATTGAATTAAAAGTTTTAAATGTATGCTAACTATACCGAATAGTTGGTTCAAGTAATGTTTTTACCGTTATATTTTTAATGTTATTGTTTTTATCAATTTACAGTGTCATTTTGCCATTTAATTAAGAATTAAAGTTGTTTGTTAATAATTTTTAATGCAACTCATGTAAAAAATTGACATAAGTCACGGTTCAAACCATTGTCCAGGTGTATGCAAAATATGGCAATAACTACAATAATTATGAAAATTGTTACCGGAAAAAATACGCGAAAAATTCATTATTTTCTAGAAAAAAAAGTGCGAACAATCGATCACCATAATAGATAATGCGAGTTAAAATAGTGCCAACGTCCAAATTTTTGTGTATTATACGTCACATCCAATAAAAAAAAAAACAAATATAATGACTATTTTTGTAATTTAGGTTCTGCCACACGTGTCTCTAATTTACATGTACTGTAATATGTCACCTGGTGTACTCATTATTTATGTATGACAAAAAGTCAGTTGCAGCAAGTATCAGATATTACGTACGTACTGTACGTAGAGAACTCATATTTCAAAATTTACGTTGCTCAACTAGTTCCAAATTCTATACATTAATGAACTAAAATTTCACCGATATAATTACATTAAAATCTGAATTAATATTGAAAGAATAATTTAATAACAATCTCGGTATGGCTCAGGATTCCCATAATGTTATATTTACTTCCCACGGGAGAAATAAGAAACGAATGAAATCCTCGTGGAGCTCGGAAGACGAGGACACAGTTCACCAAAAAGTAGAAGAAACAAGAGAAGAAAAATATGAACGTGGTAAGTTTAGTCGAGAAATTTCGAGGTACAAAAGTTCCTTATCGAAATTCATAGATTAAGAACCAAATGTATAATTTATTATCGAGGAGAAGGCTTATTTAGCAGTGTACGTTTAGAAAAATATTCTTTATAAGATAGATTATATAATTTCGAATTTTGAGAGGTTAAGAGGATGTTACTGAATCGTTATTATTGTTATTTTTTTTGTTTGCCCCTTACCGTCTAAGTTCTAAATTTAAATTTTTGATTTATGTCACCAGCCGCTCCCTAGAACTCTTTATAATAGATTATTACTATTATTTATTATTTTAAAGACTAAAACGTTTTTGGAATACTTTTGTTGGATAAAATGTAGTGCAACTTTTCCAAACACTTATTACTCTACAAAAGCGTCCAGACACTCAACGTGCATTTGAAATTCTCAAAGAAGACATATCAAGGAAACCATATCTACTTCCATTACGAACTGATCATAAAGGAAATAAACATGTTCAGTCATTTGAACAATTGGTATGATTAACACATTAACTGTCAATATAAGTCAATATAATAGTTGTTTTATTGATTAAAATGTGAACATTTTGATTTTTCAGATGATGCATGCCGAAGATTATGAATCGGAATTTAGACGTCTTTTTTCAGAAACGGTTAAACCAGACAATATAAATTCCAATAAAAAATTTCGAGATGCTGTAAACTTAACTCCAGGGTCTATTTTCTGTGGACAAGTTAATCAAAAAACAGGTATTTGATTTCATTTAATTAATTAATTAATTAATTAATTAATTAATAAATAATAATAATAATATTATTATTATTATTATTATTTTCTATTTCTTAATTTTAATGTGCTAACGTTTTTTTCTAATTATTTACAGAGATAGCTGTTCATCAAATGGAGATGGGTGGTCCACGGCCTACGAAAGATAGTCCATTACCAGTATATTACGATAGCTGGAAGCAATTGACGACACTTGATGGTCATAATCAACCAACGTATTGTGTGCTGTTTGATAAGACAGGCAGAAGAGTTTTTACAGGGAGCGATGATTCATTGATCCGAGTATGGTGCACAAGCACTGGATCGTTACTTCGGGCATTATATGGGGTATTTATTATTATTATTATTATTATTATTTACGATGTTTCTGATAATTCGTTTATCGATATGCCAACATTAATATTTACATTTTACATTAGCATACCAAAGCAATAGTAGACATGACAATTAACTGTAAGAATGACTTGCTTGCTACGTCATCTAATGACAAAACTGTCGTCGTGTGGAGTCTTGACTCATATACTGCGATACATCGTTTCGGGATGGCAAGTATTCTTTGATTTTACAACCATGTTTATTATTTTATGACATAAAGTTAAAAATATAGCTATGGTTTATAGGACGAAATGGCGACCTCAATACTTTTTTCTCCAACTCCTATAGCCGAAAATCGTTATTTGATCGCTACTTCTGACAACTGGCATACGTGGGTATGCAAATATGATGATACTGATAATAGTTTTGGTCCTACTTCAAAAATAAAACCTGTGAATGCTGTTGGAGCAAATACAAGAATGAAATGTACTTCATTCAATTACACCGGTTCGATGTTTGCAATTTCTGGCACCGATGGGCTTATTCGTGTATATTCAACAATAGGTGGTACTGCCTTATATGATAATAATAATAATAAAAAGGGCAAGAAAGCTAAAAAGCCCTTTGATCTCGTCGAAATAATTAAACAATCGCATGACCCAGAAGACTCTGATGATTCTGATGATGATCTAATTAGCAAGTCTACTCTAGTGGTCGGTGATAGCAATAATAATAATGATATTAAAAGCAATAATTGTGACAATGATGATGACCTTTTCGCCGACATGAATATGGATATGGCTCGCAGCCTCCTTCTTGCAGGTGTAAAAAATTTCAATGGTCAAAATGCTATTAAATCTATTGGAAAAGAATTTATTGCTCCAATACAAAATAGGCCATCTATATCAAAACATTATAACTCTATTCCATCTACGTCACAACAACCAATAATTACTACAATTTCATCATCACCGAGCAACACCGCTTCTTTGTTTTCAGTGTCAACGTCACAATCTCAATCAAGCAATTTAACTCATTCTCAATTAAGCAATGTAATTCATTCTCAATCTAGTAATTTAACTCATTCTCAATCAAGTACGATAACGCAATCCCATGCAACAATCGTTTCACAGTCTACATCAAGTCAGATTGTTCAAACAAGGCATGTAACACCATCTTCGACAAGACCTCAAACCACAAGACCATTATTAATATCTTCATCAGGACATATGACGCGAGTTTCCAGACCGCGATCAAGGTACCAAGGTTCAAGAAATAATGCTAGTATATCAGCTCCAGTCTCACCAGGATATATCAGTTCAGCCGGGGAAGCCTCAGATACTTTATCAGTGAACATCACCAATCGTCGAATAAACCATAGTAATAATCGTAGAACAAACGCAAGTGCACCAGCTTCACCTGGACGTAATATAGCATCATCTCGGTCAATAAATTATACAAACAATAATTCAATAACACCTGTTGTCGCTTCAAATGAAGATGACGATCTAAATTTAATGAATCTTGCAAATTATTTCGATCCAGTTCATATTGCTGATCTAGATGGTCATACTGCTACTGTAAATAGTCTTGAGTTTGCACATAGTGGCAATAGATTATTATCTGGGGCTGATGATGGTACTGCACGTGTTTGGGAATATAATTACATTTTTAAACGATGGACTTCAATTATTTTGGATGTTAGAGGATCGAATAATAACACAAGGGTGACTTCTATGCGCTGGAGCCTTGACGATACGAAGGTGATCATTGGGAATAATTACGGAATTATTACAATCTTTGACAGCGAAAGTGGGGAAGTTAGAGTTCGAATAAATGCACATAATGATAAGATATATGTATTAGATATTCATCCACATGATTGTCGTGTGATGATGTCCGCAGGGTATGATGGTCGTATTGTGATGTGGGATATCGTAGATGGCCGCTCTCTCAAAGGTACGTTATTACTATATACTTTATATATTTAATAACGTTATAATTATTCTATTAACGAATTATTTCCATATCAAAGTTTGGGATCCGAGTAATTTAGAGTTTCTTGGTGACAAATTTGAGTTTCTTGATGGAAAATTCCGTGATGATGGTAAGTTATTATTATTATTATTTGATCTAAAAAATAAAATTTAAATAATTAATATTGTTATTTTATTAGGAGAGATGTTTGCTGTAAGTGATGGCAAAGGAAAGTGTCATCTTATTGGTATCGATCAGACATGCAATTACGATAAATATCGTATCCGAGCGGAAAACGGTCAGAGATTCTTTGAAGATTATACGACTAGGGCCTTGATATTTTCAGAGGAAGAATGGACGTTCATTGACAACGATAGTGGCGTGAGTTTTTACATATTACATATGTTATATATGTGTGTGTTGTGCATATATTTGAAGGAATTATATAAGTTAATTCTTTATATATATATATATATATAATAGAGACCCATTGACCCTTCACAACAAACTGAAGTACTGAGCTTGGGTAGCGTCCCATATGAGAGACAAGTACCTATTTCGTTAGGTAATATAAACTCGAATTATTTCATATACTTTATTGTTATTTTATTATTTTATGCTTTGTCTTATTAACATAGTCACATTGAATCTTATAATAGCACAAGGTAGACGTTCACGTCTGTCAAGTAAGAGACTTAAACCGATCATTGAGAATAAAAAGCAAATTTTAATTGAAGAAGTCAACAAGTAGTAGTTTTGTTATATCATGCTAAATTGTATTTAATTTTATTATTAACATAAATCTGCTTTTTATGTTGTATCATAGATTACAACAAGGAGCAATAGTAAAGTAAGTATTGCAAAAAAAACTCTATATTTCTTTTATGATCATACATACCTAATATATAAATTTGTGTAATTCTATAATTAGGGTTGTTTTAAATAAAAAAGAGGTATCAATGCGTCGTAAGAAAATTCAAATTCCAGAAAACCATTTAACGTCCCGTATTTCAAGAAATTCAATATCATTGAGTTGGTAACGATTATATGGGAGTGAATTAATAACTGACTTTTTTGAAAGATCTTTTATGAGCTTAGAATCAACGAATTCTATTGTTGAT